AGAAAGAGAGAAAGCTTGATTCCTTGGTTTCTTTTGAAAAGCAAGGACACAATGGGGTCTTTCTCAGATGGGTTCTGTCTCCATTAAAGACCCTGGGAACACTGCATGGACCCCTCAACCTCCTCTTAAAGGGCCAGAGCACTCTCCGCCCTGAGCAACCTGAGAGCGCAGAAAAAGTCCCTTGCATTTTCATGGGAAAAAGGAGGAATCAATTATTCATGAAGGGAATGTGAATCCCGCCCATCCTACACTCTCTCTGAGTTCACCCAAACAAACTTCACTCATGTTTATCATCTCTCCTGAGTGCAGTATGAACACGCTGTACAAACTCACCTGCAGACATAACCATGAGAGCGACATAACAACCAAGAAAAGATCATCTCAGGTGCTCATGTGGAGTTGGTTTTGCACTTGGGGTAAAAGTTAGTTGTATTGCTTTTAACAAGTAGTGTTTTTTCAAACGTGTTTCCACAAATTAATATCATTTATAAAAATATCTCACCTTCAAAACCTTTATGTGATTCTAATTTAAATACCAAAGGTCTTTATTTACATAAATAAAAATAAAAAGTGACAAAATCCTGATACTTTTACAATTAAATGAGATGCAATTAATTAGAATAGAACACACACTGAAAAAGTTACTAAAATTACATTGCTTAAAACGACTCATCCTTAGACAATTTGAGTGAAACTTAAAGAAAACATACAGTATGTTGTGAGTATCTGTGTCTCACATAGCTAGTCTGTAGGGTTAGTTAAGTCTACTCGTACTAGGTGAAGGGGGTTGTTGTGTGTCGGAGCTCCGAGAGGGAGGAGCACAGGAGGGAGGGATGGAGGAGGGGAGGAGAAAGACAGAATGGACAAAAGTTGAGTGGAGGAATGTGAGTTTGTCTGAAGGGGGAATAAAGACGTCCTGATGGGAGAGGAGTTTTGGAGGCAAAAGGAAATTCTGACATAAAAATACGCGTAGTGATTCCAAAAATAACACAACTCTGGTTGGGAAACTCTGCAGCGCTTTTTGGTTTTGGCTTTAGGCACTCCAGCAGCCTTCTTCACGTTTAGGATTATACTAAAAAACTTTCTGAGCTTAAAGAAGGGGGAAAAGGAATTTTAAAAAGAAGAAAGGAAGAATTAACTGCTATATCTTCACATTTTTTGCTTATCCCACTCCTACCACTAAACCTAATCAAAAACCATTTTTTTAAAATATGTACAGTATAAAGAAAAACATGACAAATGTAATCACAATACTTAATTTATTGTGAAAATCTCAGAAGTGGTACTAAAAGTAGTTCAAATGCCAATGTGTTGCAATCGCAGTCCTCTCTAGTGCATTGGTTCCCAATCCTGGTCCTGGAGAACCCCGACACTGCACGTTTTTGACGTCTCTCTTATCTGACACACACATTTGAGGTCTTGGAGTCTTTACTAATGAGCTGATAAGTTGAATCAAGTGTGTTTTATTAGGGAGACATCTAAAAATTACAGGATAGTATTCATAAATAAGGATTTGTGCACATTTGGAAATATACAAATTTTTATATATAATAATAATTCATATTAATAATAAATAGTTTTAGAATCAGTCAATACACCAGTATTAAATGTTTCAGTGTATATGCGAACATAAGTAAATGTAGGTGTGGTGGAACAACACCTTATGTAAAATACATTCAAATCAAAATTGACCTTTATTTCTTAGTTATTTATTGCAAATAAAAAGTTATATAAGGGCCACTTTTCTCAATAAAAGCAGTTCTTGAAAGTGGCCAAGTATGGTGACCCATACTCGGAATTAGTGCTCTGCGTTTAACCCATCCTAAGTGCACACACACACAGCAGTGAACACACAGTGATTCCAAAAATAACACAACTCTGGTTGGGAAACTCTGCAGCGCTTTTTGGTTTTGGCTTTAGGCACTCCAGCAGCCTTCTTCACGTTTAGGATTATACTAAAAAACTTTCTGAGCTTAAAGAAGGGGGAAAAGGAATTTTAAAAAGAAGAAAGGAAGAATTAACTGCTTATGCTGCGGTTGGAAACAGATTTCAGCAGATGCAATTTTGGGGACAACTTGACAGCTGATATATATATATTTTTTTATTTCTTTCTTTTTGCTAAGGAGTCTGTTTTTGCCCAAGAAGAATTGCTCATCTGTGGAAAGTTGAGGCGTACTGGAGTGATGCGATGATGATGCGATCCGTCTCTGATTCACACACGACACCGACACTGAACCGGAGCATGAAACCCAGCGAAACAATGACCGGGTCGAGCTTACTCGCTCTGTTTCTCACGACAGTGATGCGCCTCGGCTCCGCGGAGCTGCTGTCAGGTAAGAGATATACCACATCATTTCTAATCAAAACCTGTGTAATTCAGAGCATTCACCATGTCGAAATATAGTCAAATTTAATCGTTGTATTGTTTAAGGGCATACAGATGTCTGAAAAAGTTTTTACACACTAGTTACTTTAAAAAAATTTAAATGCCATTGTAGTAGATAACAATTATCACTTCTCAAGCAACGTATTTCACAAAATAAAGTTTCAAAAAGTACAACAATTTTATGTTTGAAATGATAAAACAATAAATATAGTGTTAAAATGAAGATCAGTTTTGCTACATGAACATGTCCATAGTTAAATATGATAGACTACAGCTGTGGATATTCTGCTGTGTTTACTTGAGAGGAACTTTTTATATTCACTAAAATAACCCTGGCACCAAAATAAGTGTAAATAATTGCAATTCAGATAAATGTACTGTATGTCTTTCTGAAAAAGCTGAAGTGTCAAAAAAGCTTCGGTTCACTGTACAAGCATATTTTGAATCTTATTTATCGTCAGTGCATATCATTTTGGGGCAGACAGTAACAAATAGTAAAAGACACTTGACAATATAGTTCACTCTGATACCCCATGTCTCTATCCATGCCACACCGTCTTTGCTCTTTAGCTAGTTGAGGAGAGCTGTGTGTGTTGTGACTTTTCAAAACAATGGGACTTACTGTTTTCACCTGACAGAGGGAAAAAAAATCCTACATTGAAGGAGGGGCCTGGGCTATATCTGGAGACAAGAATATCTTAGTTTATCTTAGAAGAACACCCTAGCAATGCCCTAACAATAACATTGCAAGACCTTAGCAACCAACCAGAACACTCTAGTAATGGCATTGCATCATAACAGAGGCTTTGGCACAAGCAAGCATCATTCATACTTTCTGTCTACATTGTCTTGCACAAGATAATGGCTTTAAGTGTTTACCAGACACAAACTTACAGTCTTTACATTTGTCTGTGAGCAGCCCTTATGTGTGAAGTGAAATTGAGCGAAGACTCGAGGCGTTATGTGATGTCTGGCAGACTGGACACTTATCAGACTCTCACATCGAAGCTCTCAGACTCTGAAGACGGGCAGCCTAAACACGCAGCATGGATGTGGGGATTCAGAAAGAATGTGGCTCAGGGGCCATGCTGAACGGACAGGGGAAATGATGGATTGACTTTGGGGCAAAGGGATGGATGAGGGATAAATTTAAAAAGAATGGAATAAAAAGCCACGGGAGGAGACTGAGATCGGTGGACAATTAAAACATAAAGGAGGAAAGGAAGAGTGATTTGTGTTAGTCTGGTGATAACGGTAATGATAATGGGGAGGGATGTTTGCAGGGCTGCTTTTCCTGCTGGTTAGTAGTTGTCGATTTTTACTAATGATTATAGACACAATAACATTTTACAACACCTTACAAAATAATGTTAAGGAGGACAGCCTGCTCTCATTCATTATTTCTAGGTAATACTATGTAACATATATAGGAACAAAATGTACATTTTTTGTTCTTTGGATAGATGCAAAAATGTACAATATGGACCTATTGACAGGATTTAAAAAAGTAAACATCATTACATATTTACAGCTAAAGAAACCTAAAATATTCTTCACAAACTTTAACATTACAAAGATATTTGATAGTTGCACTTTCACAATTTTATAGATACATTTTAGATCCCTTAACCCTACTCAAACCTAAAATAAACACTTTATAGATAACATAAAAAAAAATAAAAAATAAAATAAATAATAAGTGCACACACACACAGCAGTGAACACACACAGACCGTGAACACACACCCGGAGCAGTGGGCAGCCATTTATGCTGCGGCGCCCGGGAAGCAGTCGGGGGTTCGGTGCCTTGCTCAAGGCCACGACTTCCCTTGCTGGATTGTTTCTTTTTGTTGAAATCTTTGCTGGATTGTTTCTTTTTGTTGAGTAGACAAGAATGCAGAAGTTTCTTCTTGTTGAATACAAAGTTTCAAATTAGGAGAGTAAAATGGATTTGAAGCACCATTTTATGTTGACTTTACGCACTCAGTCAGATTCAAAGGGAGGCTGCAGAGAAAGACAGTTCAGGTCAGAGTTGACTGCCCACTTTCAGGCCATCATAAAAGGAGAGATGTTTAAAAGAACTAGTGAAGCTAAAAGCCGCTGTAGCAATATAAAGAAAAAACTAGCCATGACAGGAGGATTTAGTGAGGATTTAGTCATTTTAAATATCAACTTGTGTACATATGTGTTCTCCTAAACCTTCCCCGAAAGACTGACAGTGTCCACATGTTGTTCATCCCATTCATTTCTGAACACACTTTGGAAGGACTGAAAGGAATGTTAAACTCTTTTAAAAAATAGTCCTGTAACTTAAAACTCTAAGTGTATTTGTTAAGTGTGCACCTGAATGTGAAATTAATCATGTTTTTTTTATGAGCCTTTTCCGAAAGTCAGTCTGATTTCTTCTTGAGAAAGCAGGCACACGTAGATGAGGGATATTTGTGTTAGTAAGTGTTTCAGATGCCATGTCACTCTGGATGAAATAATTTTCATGGAGTCAAAGGTTAAGGGTCAGGGCAGTGTCTGACAGCCTTGAAAAAATCTTAAACTGGAGTTAAGCAGGAAGGAATTTGGAATGAGTTGCGTCATCCGTAGCGAACCTACACGGAACTGGCCTAATGCTGGATTACACGCCTCTGGTATCTCTCCGGCTTCAGCTGCAGAGCTTGTTATCGGCTCCGTGCCCACACAGGAATTTAAAATATTTCAGTTCTCCAGGCAGATGGAGATGCATGGAGCTAATAGAAAGTGTTGAACAGAGAGCCGATCTACCGTCCTGCGCTGAAAAAAAGAAAATCCATGCGAGGCAGGGTTGTTTGTGTTTTTGAAAACCTCCCCTACAAAATCAGTTCACAAAGCTACACCACCCCAATGGCATTGACAAGGAGGTTTGACTGATAAGTTCATGTGATGTTTACTCGTACTGCGAGACAAAGGAGCAAAAACTCACTTAGACTTAAATGGAAGGTCTTGAGCCGTATCTTAACATTGATGGACTCCTAGTGACCACTAAGAACCAGGGTGGTCCTCAATCCCATCACACCTGATTCAGCTCATCAGCTCATCTGTGAGACTAGTAATGGGTGTGTCAGATAAGGACCAGGGTTGGGAACCACTGATGTAGAACTGATCTAGTTTTATAAAGGCGTGATTTTTTAATCTTCTGAAAAGATAAGGAAGCCCTCCAATATGATGACCAGCTCTTCAAATTACAGCAAATAACATGCCATTAACAAAAAACACAAAGCCAAAAAACACCATCATTTTGTGGTAATGTACCATGGTGGTAGTTTGGCGCACCATGAAAGTCAAGTCAAGTCACCTTTATTTATATAGCGCTTTTAACAATACAGATTGTGTCAAAGCAACTGAACCACGTCACTTCCTGTTTGTGAAACACCGTGAAAACACCGTGAAACACCGTGGTGTGGGAATTATTCAGCACCAAAGTACCACACATTTGTTTAATTCAACTGCTCTTCAAAGCACACAGAGGTTATGGAAGTTAAAGTGCTAAACCTGACTTTACTGTTGACCTAATGGTTTTTCCATGATTTTCCTGCACTGTGTAGGGTTACATTTCATGGAGAGCCCTAAGAACGTGACCTCCTCTCTTGGGAAGCCAGTGGCTGTCCAGTGTGTCCTGCGAGCGGACGGCGAGGGCCAGGGGCCCCTGGATGTGCTCTGGCTGAAGGAGGGACAGCTGCTGGACTTTGCCGACACCAACCAGATGCAGTTCCTCGAAGATGAGAATGGCTGGCTGGTTATTAGTGAACTCAAGTAGGAATACCTCTTTAATTTGGACATTTACTCTGACTCTCCAGTGGACTGTTTCCACTGTCCATGATCAGTGTTGCAGAAAGCAAGCATGTTACGTTATTGCCTTAATGCCTAATAAAAGTTCTGAATTATGATAGCTCATGAATTTGTATGGAAAGTAGTGTGATAGGTATTCTTATATCACTTTTTCTCATTGGCAATTTGCTGAGACTCCAAAATACAAGCCCTACAATTGGTTTGTAGGTATATTTTCTTTTGTAATATGACTCTTTTGTCAGTAAATAGATTTTTTATTAAAAATATCGGTAACACTTTAGAACAGGGACAAATTATCACTATTAACTAGTTGCTTATTAGCATGTCTATCATTAACATGTTAGCTGTTTATTAGTATTTATAAAGCACATATTCTGCATGACCATATTCTACAATCCTAGCCAATACCTAAATTTAACATCTACCTTACTAACTGTTAATAAGCAGCTAATTAGTTTATTGAGGCAAAAGACATAGTTAATGGTTTGTTGATAGTAAGAATTTAATCTTAAAATAAAGTGTGACTGAAAATCTATAAAATGGATTACCTGTGACCCCCAGCATTGATCAAACCCAGCCCACAGACATGTAAAGCTGACTGGTCTTATGCCACTAGCAATGCATATGTCAGGGGTTTGATTCCCAATGACCACACACGCTGATACAACTGAAACATTAAAAGCACTGAAATTTGCTTGGTAGAAAAGTGTCTGCCAAACGAATCTATTGAAATGTGACTGCAGTTTCATATTAATAGTATTCTCCATCTGCTTACAGGATAGAGGAGGTACAGCTCTCGGATATGGGCGCCTATCAGTGTGCGGTTTCCTCTGGTGAAGAGGAGCTTTTATCCATTGAGGGATACATTGAACTCGAAGGTATTTCACTTTTTGAATGTTTTAAAATCCATTGTTCCAAAATACAAATTCATATGGTGACTTTATCTCCTGATTGCTGACTGGGCGGCTGGGTTGGGCCGCGACTATACCAGTCGACTGCTATGTTGGGAACTCCTCTATAGTGCATCAATGATATATTTATGGATTCCCTAACTGTCTTTCTCTCTCCCCCAGGTCTCCCTCAGTTCTCGGTAGAGCCGCAGCATTTGTCAGTCGTGGCTAACGAAGAGCTGAGTCTGCACTGTGTGGCTCATGGTCCTCCTGATCCGGTGCGGGTCATCTGGCTTCAGGACGGGGCTCCTCTCAATAACCTGGGTGACCCGATATCCCTGTCGCCCTCAACCCTCAACATCTCAGGTACTGACCTCACTCTACATGACTCTACACTGTTGTTGTTTTTATCAGCATTTTTTGTTCTTAACAAATACCTTGTATCGCCATATTCCATCTTTTTTTTTGCTCACCCTTTACATTTTTCTGTGAGTTTTACAATTATTTAACCAATAAATAGTATTGTGTTTGAATAAGTTCAGTGTTTCCTTTACTGAAGAAACACTGTCTTTAAAGACTAAAGTTTTATGCATCTGAGGAGTGGAGAAGAGCGTTTCACCATAAACTTTGAAGAGATACCATATTCTGTTTAACCTGTAATGAGATGCACTTACTGCCACAAATACAGCTGTACTAATGACGGACAAAACATATGGACATACAAGGTTTCAGCCCGACAGTGACGACTTGTAACCATTCCACATAATAGCTCACTTCAGTACTAAATAAAGGTGCAGTAAGGCCATACATTATAATTATTTGCAGCTACTATTTGTGGTGTTTGCTATTGTAATCAGTACTACTGCTATACTGCTCAAAAAGAGGGGTTTGTTCACATCACTTAAATGTGAAGTGAATATTTATATTTAGAAAACAGGGGTCTGTTTTATAAACTGCTTAGACTAGTATTACAAGTTAGTCATCTCAATTTTTTCTTTAAGACGTTTTCTTCACGACTGGTTACACACACACAAACACACACACACACACACACACACACACACGTTGTGTTTCCATGTTTTATGGGGACATTCCATAGGCGTAATGGTTTTTATACTGTATAAACTGTATGTGCTACTGCCCTACACCAACCCTACTCCTAAACCTACTCCTTACAGGAAACTTTGTGCATTTAATAAATCTGTATGATTTATAAGCTTGTTTCCTCATGGGGACCTCAAAAATGTCCCCACAAGGTCAAAATTTACTAGTATTACTATCCTTGTGGGGACATTTGGTCCCCATAACGTGATAAATACCAGGTACACACATACACACACACACACACAGACTCTCTGCAGCAGGCGGACTGTCTGGAAGTTTTCCAAATGGGAATCATCCTTTGAGACGCTGGCCTTTGCTTACTAGTGATAGAGCAGCAGGAGATAAGAGGAAGGCCGAACAGGAAGAAAGAGTGGAAGAAAAAAATGAGGAGGAGGAAGAGGAGGAGGCCTTTGAAAACCTGCCACAGCAGAGTGCCACATACAGCCTGTGTTGTTGTTCCAGCTGTACTTTTTCGCGATGGCGCCGACGCCGATGGCTGCCTCCGTGGCATGCTCCGCAGTTGTTTTTATGTTTTTGTTAGTTTGTCCTGTCTTTAGTTATATCCCTGCAATCAGTTTCACCAGAGACGAATTGCTGGACATTCGGAAGTACACACCACCTGATATTTCACCGGTTTTCGATTATTCTGATGTTTTGCTGGACAATGTAGTCGGGGGAGCTGCAGCGCTGATCAAGCGCTTCAGGACGCGCAGACGGGGGAAGCGAGCCGGCACGCTCGTGAAGCTCAGACAGCGCGGATTCAGGACGCCGTTGCCTAGCATCCATCTGGCGAACCGCCGCTCTCTACCCGACAAAACGGACGAGCTCCTTCTGCTCTCCCAGACAAATAAGGATTTTTCAAACTCTGCTGCTCTGTGTTTCACGGAAACCTG